AGAGAGAGAGAGAGAGAGAGAGAGAGAGAGAGAGAGAGAGAGAGAGAGAGAGAGAGCCGGAGGCGTGCTGACAGGCAAGCACGCAGACAGAGAAGAGACATGGAGGTAGACAATCAGGTACGCAAACAGCCGGATATGCGGACAGGCTGGCGGACAGACAGAGACTGGCAGCGGCAGCCTGCCAGCCTGCCCGCCTTCCAGCCTGCCTTCCTGTCAGGCTGGCAGGCAGACTGAGACAGGCAGCTTGACCGATATACAAACAGACTGACAGACTGACAGACTGACAGATAGACAGTCAGACAGGGACACGCAAGCAGACAGGCAAAGGCAGGCAGACTGATAGAAATAGTCAGAGACTGATACGAACAGGCAGACTGGGAGGCCGACAGATTGTGCCAGCGAAAAAAAATCGAAGTAACTTTCTGTACCTACAATCTCTTCTGTTTTTTGGTTTCGTCTTCTCTCCCGAATAGAACGCACTGTGATTATATCTGTATTTGGGCCAGACTTTCTGTCCCGATACAGCGATAATCACTCTGCGTGCATAGCAGCTACCTACCTCTCCCCTCTATAGCCTTTAGGAGCCGCTGGTAGGTAGATAGTGAACGCTGAAATTGAGAGAAGAATATAGCTTAGTCTTCATAAAAAAAAAAAAAAAAAAAAAAAAAAACTGTGCGCTCTATTCGGGGCCCGGGCTGGGGCGGAGAGGAAGAGGTTATACTCGGGTAGATTGAGTGTGAAAAAAAACGTGGTTTACCTGCCATCCACCGTCTCCATGAAAAGATATCGGGTCTGTCTGACTGTGAGTGGGTTTAGACTCAGACAGATCCGTTATCTTTTGATGGCGACGGTGGATGGCAGAGTCCCAGATGACGTTGGAAGTATTCTTCATCGCCATCCGCCATATCCATCCGCCATCGCCATCCACCATCCACCATGGCCATCCGCCATAGCCATCCGCCATCGCCATCGCCATCCGCCATCGCCATCCACCATCCACCATCGCCATCCGCCATAGCCATCCGCCATCCGCCATCCGCCATCCGCCATCGCCATCCACCATCCACCATCCACCATCCACCAATGGCCACGTGTCCAGAAGTCGTCTGGGAAGTCCACGTGTGGATAAAAATCGATCCTTTCTACCGTGTTCTGAACGCCCGGTAATTATCTTCTCTGTATTTGGGCCAATTGTCAGTCTAGATGCACACAGCTATAATGATCAGGCGTTCTATTCGGGTGAAGACGGCAGGCAATCTGGTATGTCTCTTTACCCACCAATCTGTCCGTCTCCGATCTTCGACTGTACAAAAAAAGTCTAAATACATAGAATCCATTATTAATCCATTATATTATAATTAAATTAAATCCATTTGTGGTTTATACAGGTCACCCACGACGGATTTCAAACTGACACGTGGAACTCAAGCTGCTGACGGATTGATTTCTCGTCGCGTGGACCTTTTTTTACTTTTTGAAAAAAAAAAAAACAAACCCTGACGGATCACGCTACGAGTCTATAGGGTGAGGGAAAGAAAAAACGATTTGTTTCTGGACAAGTGGGCGTTTTTTTAAAACGGACAGCTGACGCTGATCGCTTTATTTGTGAAAAAACGGAAAAAAAAAAAAAAAACTGACGGTGATCACATATCGCAGTCAGAAGAAAGTGGGTTCTTCTTCAGTACACACCCAATCAGGGGGAGACCAACTCCAGGAAAAAAAAAAAAAAAAAAAAAAAAAACCGACTCCAATCGTCCCCTCTAATTATATCAGATGATTAGAGTGGACGATTGGAGTCAGTTTTTTTTTTTTTTTTTTTTTTTTTACTGGAGGCTCTTTCGTGGGTTCTTCCTTCATTCAACGGCTTGCAAACCCTTGCCCCTCCAATTAGTGAACCCCCCCCCATGTGGACAGAGATGCACGATGCTATTGCCATCGCCATCTCCTTCGCCATCACCATCGCCATCGTGGGTTAGCATCTCCAAGCCATCTCATCGAACGGTTGATTGCGTCTTGTTTATCCATCCCTAATAGGTTCATCGCCATCGCCATCGCCATCACCATCGCCATCGCCATCGCCATCACCATCGCCATCGCCATCACCATCGCCATCGCCACGAGTCGCACAATGATGACAGTTGTCGTCACAACGATTGGTACATGTCTTCTTCTCCGATAGCCATCGCCATCGCCATCGCCATTTGCCTTCTTCCATCGGCATCTCCGTGCCATGTCATTGCCATTGCCATTGCCATTGCCATTTGTCTTCTTCCACCTCCATCCCCTATCGTCATTTGTCTTCTTCCTTCGCCATCAGCCATCGGCCATCAGCCATCCATCCGCCATTCGCCACCTCCATCTGCCATCCCCATCCGCCATCGCCGTCTGCCATCGCCAGTTTGTCTTCTTCAGTCGCCATCCACCATCGCCATTTGTCTTCTTCAGTCGCTATCCGCCGTCGTCGTCATTCGTCTTCTTCAATCGCCCTCCGCCATCGCCAGTTGTCTCTTCTACTCATGGTCATCCTCATCCATTAGCGTGATCTTCCATCGCCATTGCCATCGCCATTGCCATCGCCATTGCCATCGCCATCGCCATCGCCATTTGACTTCTTATATCAACCTCTCTGTTATCGTGGTCATCCATCGTTATCCCCCATCGCCATCGCCATCCGCCATCGCCATCGTCTCCGATTTACTGTTCCACAATCTCTTCTGTATAGAGGAACTGTGTAGCGATCCCGACTCCAGACCAGGCAAGCCTGTCAGCAGTTGGCGATCTGCTCTTCTACGCAGACGCAGGCGCGGTTAGGATATACTCTCCACTACCCGTCTTCTCGCCCGAATACAACGCCCGGCCACTATGGCTGAATGTATGTGGGGCAACTTTCCGTCAAGATACAGCGATGATGAACGGGCGTTGTATTCGGGTGAAGACGGCAGGACTGTCTGAAAATGTATCCGACCAGTACTTGCGACCAAATTCAGTCGGACAAATCCTTGGGTCAGCGTAAGTCTAGTCGTTCCCAGCCTGTTTGTTGGTAGGAGAATGGCCTTTAGACCGCATTTGGCACACTTTTGTGGGATGTATACGACCGTCCCTTGTGATCAGGTTCAGTCGAACAAGTCTCTAGAGTGAACTTGACTCTAGTCTCGGCTTCAATTCCCGGCCTCTCTGTCGGAATGTCATTTAGAGCAAATACCATCACATTTTTTGGGATGTATCTGACCGACAGCTCCGATCAGATACATTCTGGGATGTCTTTGATCATCATCATCATCATTGATTGTTGTCTCTTCACCTTATTTTCTTGCTCCCTCCCTCCCTCCCTCCCTCCC